ATAATAATGTAACTCTAGATATGGGAAGAGGAACTGAGTGGCTTTGTCAATGGAGTCTTTGCTAGACCTGGAAATGAGCCTTTCCAGCACCATGGGACACAATGGCCATGAAATGCCCTTAAAGCATGGTCAAATCTGTGGCTATGAAGGGGCCCTGCTGACTGGAAACTGGCACTTGCAGACTGCCTCTACAAAGATTAAATCATGGCCACTACTGTTGCTGAACTTCAACAACCCCTGAAAGAAATTCAGGGTGGATATCAGAAATTAGGCAATCTGTGCTCTGGAAAAAAAATGGACAAAACAAAACAGGCCTTCACATAGTCAGATGTTTTCAAGTAATGGTTGTTGTTGTTTTTTTTCCATTATGACCCCAATTCTTGAATCTTCTCATACCTACAGAAACACTAACATAATGGACCAATGTCTTGTCCTAATTCTCCTGTCTAGCTTTTCTTCTACGCATCTTGACAGCTCTTCTAGTTTTATGCATCTTTAATCCTCTTGATCTAATCCCTTGAATCTATTTGTCACTCCCACTGTATAATCATAAGGGATGATTTGGGACTCTAGATGTGCTGTGACATAGGTCCTCCCAATGCTATTTCAGTCTGGATGTTGGTCAAAAACTCAATTTGGTGATCTATCCTATTCTCTTTCAATTTCTCTTTTAATGTCAGTATATTGAAAGTAAGTTAGATAATTCTCTAATAAATATTTGTATTATTTATTGTATATAACGAAGGGCTTATTTTGGTAACAAATCCTTTGAACCTGAGATGAAAGTGAAAACTTTTGGCAAAACAATTTACATAAATTTATAGGCCTTGATTATGTCATAAAGGAGATTAAAAAATATTACCTAGCATATGGAAGAGCTGAATTTATGTATTTTATAACACTGTCTCACTGATTAAAAAAATATGAAATCATAAAAATGACTAATAGTTCCCTCTCCTTACTAATACAATTGAATGAAGCTTCTTACTATTGAACCTTAGCTATATGAGAAAATGTTTTGCCCTTAAGAAAATGATTCCAATCATCAATGACAAAATAAACATCTGAAATCATTCAATAAAGAAAAACATTTAAAAAAAAAGAAAGAAAGAAAAACACCTTGCTACCTTGCAAAGCAATCAACTCCTCTAACACAAGTGCGACTCACAGGCCATCTTGTGATCTCTTACTGTAACATAGCACAGTCTTATAGGGTTTGTAACATTCTTTTCTTAATTTTTATTGAGGTATAGTTGATTAGCAATATTAGGGTAATTTCTGCTGCATGGCAAAGTGATCCCATTATATATGTTCTTTCAGTTCAGTCGCTCAGTCGTGTCTGACTCTTTGTGACCCCATGAACCGCAGCATGCCAGGCCTCCCTGTCCATCACCAACTGCTGGAGTCTACCCAAACCCATGTCCATCCCGCCATCTCATCCTCTGTCGTCCCCTTCTCCTCCTGCCCTCAGTCCCTCCCGGCATCAGGGTCTTTTCCAATTAGTCAACTCTTTGCATCAGGTGGCTAAAGTACTGGAGTTTCAACTTCAGCATCAGTCCTTCCAATGAACACCCAGGACTGATCTCCTTTAGGATGGATTGGTTGGATCTTCTTGCAGTCCAAGGGATTCTCAAGAGTCTTCTCCAACACCATAGTTCAAAAGCATCAATTCTTCAGCGCTCAGCTTTCCTTATAGTCCAACTCTCACATCCATACATGACTACTGTAAAAACCATAGCCTTGACCAGACAGACCTTTGTTGGCAAAGTAATGTCTCTGCTTTTACTATGCTGTCTAGGTTGGTCATAACTTTCCTTCCAAGGAGTAAGCATCTATTTGCCATGAAGTGATAGGACTGGATGCCATGATCTTAATTTTCTGAATGTTGAGCCTCAAGCCAACTTTTTCACTCTCCTCTTTCACTTTCATCAAGAGGTTCTTTAGTTCTTCTTCACTTTCTGCCATAAGGGTGGTGTCATCTGCATATCTGAGGTCATTAATAATTCTCCCAGCAATCTTGATTCCAGCTTGTGCTTCCTTCAACCCAGCGTTTCTCACGATGTACTCTGCATATAAGTTAAAGAAGCAGTGTGACAATATACAGCCTTGACGTACTCCTTTTCTTATTTGGAACCAGTCTGTTCCATGTCCAATTCTAACTGTTGCTTCCTGACCTGCATACAGGTTTCTCAAGAGGCAGGTCAGGTGGTCTGGTATTCCCATCTTTTCAGAATTTTCCACAGTTTATTGTGACCCACACAATCAAGGGCTTTGCCATAGTCAATAAAACAGAAATAGATGTTTTTCTGGAACCCTCTTGCTTTTTCGATGATCCAATGGATGGTGGCAATTTGATTTCTGGTTCCTCTGCCTTTTCTAAAACCAGCTTGAACATCTGGAAGTTCATGGTTCACATATTGCTGAAGATGGCTTGGAGAATTTTGAGCAGTACTTAACTAGGATGTGAGATGAGTGCAATTGTGCGGTAGTTTGAGCATTCTTTGAGATTGCCTTTCTTTGGCACTGGAACGAAAACAGACCTTTTCCAGTCCTGTGGCCACTGCTAAGTTTTCCAAATTTGCTGACATATTAAGTGCAGCACTTTCACAACATCATCTTTCAGGATTTGAAATAGCTCAACTGGAATCCCATCACCTCCACTAGCTTTGTTCATAGTGATGCTTTCTAAGGCCCAGTTGACTTCACATTCCAGGATGTCTGGCTCTAGGTGAGTGTGAGTGATCACACCATCGTGATTATCTGGGTCGTGAAGATCTTTTTTGTATAGTTCCTCTGTGTATTCTTGCCTCCTCTTAATATCTTCTGTTTCTCTTAGGTCCCTACCATTTGTGTCCTTTATTGAGCCCTTTGTTGCATGAAGTGTTCTCTTGGTATTTCTAATTTTCTTGAAGAGATCTCTAGTCTTTCCCATTCTGTTGTTTTCCTCTATTTCTTTGCATTGATACTGAGGAAGGCTTTATTATCTCTCCTTGCTATTCTTTGGAACTCTGCATCCAAATGGGAATATCTTTCCTTTTATCCTTTGCTTTTCGTTTCTCTTCTTTTCACAGCTATTTGTAAGGCCTCCTCAGACAGCCATTTTGCTCCTTTGCATTTCTTTTTCTTGGGGATGGTCTTGACGCCTGTCTCCTGTACAATGTCACAAACCTCCGTTCATAGTTCATCAGGCACTCTATCAGATCTAGTCCCTTAAATCTATTCTCACTTCCTCTGTATAGTCATAAGGGATTTAATTTAGGTCATACCTGAATGGTCTAGTGGTTCCCCCCACTTTCATCACTTTAAGTCAGAATTTGGCAATAAGGAATTCATGATTTGAGCCACAGTCAGCTCCCAGTCTTGTTTTTGTTGACTGTATACAGCTTCTCCATCTTTGGCTGCAAAGACTATAATCAGTCTCATTTTGGTGTTGACCATCTGGTGATGTCCATGTGTAGAGTCTTCTCTTGTGTTGTTGGAAGAGGGTGTTTGCTATGACCAGTGCGTTCTCTTGGCAAAACTCTATTAGCCTTTGCCCTGCTTCATTCTGTACTCCAAGACCAAATTTGCCTGTTACGCCAGGTGTTTTTGACTTCCTACTTTTGCATCCCAGTTCCCTATAATGAAAAGGACATCTTTTTGGGGTGTTAGTTCTAGAGGGTCTTTTAGGTCTTCATAGAACCATTCAACTTCAGCTTCTTCAGTTACTGGTCAGGGTATAGGCTTGGATTACTGTGACATTGAATGGTTTGCCTTGGAAATGAACAGAGATCATTCTGTCAATTTTGAGATTGCATCCAAGTATTGCATTTCAGACTCTTTTGTTGACTATGAGGGCTACTCCATTTCTTCTAAGGGATTCCTGCCCACAGTAGATATAATGGTCATCTGAGTTAAATTCACCCATTCCAGTCCATCTTAGTCCACTGATTCCTAGAATGTCTATGTTCACTCTTGCCATCTCCTGTTTGACCACTTCCAATTTGCCTTGATTTATGGATCCAAGATTCCAGGTTCCTATGCAATATTGCTCTTTACAGCATCGGACCTTGCTTCTATCACCAGTCCCATCTACAACTGGGTGTTGTTTTTGCTTTGGCTCCATCCCTTCATTCTTTCTGGCGTTATTTCTCCACTGATCTCCAGTAGCATATTGGGCACTTACCGACCTGGGGAGTTAATCTTTCAGTGTCCTATCTTTTTGCTTTTTCATACTGTTCATGGGGTTCTCAAGGCAAGAATACTGAAGTGGTTTGCCATTCCCTTCTCCAGTGGGCCACATTCTGTCAGAACTCTCCACCATGACCTGTCCATCTTGGGTGGCTCCACTATGATCACTTTATTTCAGGATGTTGACTACAGTTTTCTGTGCTATACATTAGGATCTTGTTCATCTGTATTCACTCTTAATAAAATTTATTTCATCACAATATTTGACTACAGGAGAGTTGTGACCTTACGGGTCACTGGCTCAAAGTTACTGACATGTCCCATAATTTTACAGTTAAAAATTAGAAATTATTTTTGATACAAAACTGTAACTAAATCTAACAAAATGGCCCAAGAATGAAGTAGCTGACCTATGTACAGGATAAAACTAACTGATACTGTGTAATGATTAACTGAAAAAAACTGCAAGGTTTTAAGTAATACTCATAAATAAAAGGGGAACTTTAATATATTCTTTCAGGAACAAAAAAGTTTCTTAGCTAACAGACACTTCCAAAAGATTCAGTAAAATATTTGAAACAACTACAAAAACTGTTTCACAAAAAAAAAGAACACACACTTTTAATCACATAAAATACAATAAAAACATATTGGGGGATTATATTTGAGTAACAAAAAATATCCAAAGGCTTCCCGACAGAAGGTGCTTATTCTTACATGGAAACAAAACACCTTTCCCACATTGTTCACATTTGACAGGATTACTGTCCAGTGTGAATATTTTCACTTGCACATGAGATGACGTGAAGGTTTTCCTGAGTATTTTTCACTCACTGGATGTCTCTAAAGTATGGGTTCTTAAATGTTTATTTATATATGATTGATATCTATAACTTTTACCACATTGATGACATTGATATGGTTTCTCTCCAATGTGACTTTTCTGATGTATTTTAAGAGAACTGGCATTAATGAAGGCTTTCTCACATTCTTTACATTTATAAGGACCATCTCCAGTATGTGTTATCATGTGTTTCTGGAAGTAATAGTTAAATATGTAGGATTTTCCACATTCCTTACACTCATAGGGTTTTTCTCCAGTGTGGATTCTTTCATGCTTTTGAAGAGAGCTTGCAGAAATCAATACTTTAGAACATGTTTTACATACATATGTCATCTCTCTTATGTGATGTCCTTTGTGTTCCTTTAAGGAAGTCAAATAATTGAAGGCTTTACCACACTGGTTACACTCATAGGGTTTCACTCCTCTGTGAATTCTTCCATGAATTTGAATACTTTTAGGACTTTTAAAGGCTTTTCCACATTGTTTACATTGATAGGATTTCTTTCTAGTGTGACTCCTTTCATGCTTTCGAAGATCACTGAAAATAATGAATACTTTCTCACATTTCTGACATTTAAAAGGTGAATCTCCAGTGTGTGTTACCATGTGTGTTTGAAAAGTTATTTTCTGTAAGAAGGTTTTCCCACATTCTTTACATTCATAAGGTTTCTCCCTGGTGTGAGTTCTTTTGTGTTGCTGGAAACAGTTTTGAGATAGAAAAACTTTTCCACATAGTAGACACTCATAGGGTTTCTCTCCAATGTGACTCCTTTCATGTGTTTCAAGAGAACTGGAATTACTGAATGCTCTTTCACATTCCTTACATTTATAAGGGCCATCTCCAGCGTGTATTATCACGTGTTGTTGGAGGCTTTCATTTAATCTGTAGGCTTTCCCACACTCCTTACACTCATAGGGTTTTTCTCGAGTGTGGATTGCCTCATGCTTTCGAAGAGAGCTGGCACAAGTCAATGCTTTAGAATATGTTTTAGATACATATGGTGTCTCTTCTGTGTGAAGTCTTTTGTGTGCCTTTAAGGAATACAAACAATTGAAGGTTCTACCACACTGGTTACATTCATAGTATTTTTCTCCCTTGTGAATTTTTTCATGTATTTGAATACTTCGAGGAGTTTGAAAGGTTTTTCCACATTGTTTACACTGATAGGGATTCTCTCCATTGTGACTCCTTTCATGATATTGATAATGGCTGAAAAAAATGAATGCTTTCTCACATTTCTCACATTTATAAGGTAACGCTCTAGTGTGTGTTACCATGTGTTTTAGAAAACTTATTTTCCACATAAAGGCTTTCCCACATTCTTTACATTCATAGGGTTTTTCCCCCGTGTGAGTTCTTTTGTGTAGTAGGAAAGATTTGTTATATGGAAAAACTTTTCCACATTGTAAACATTCATAAAATTTCTTTCCAGTGTGACTCCTTTCATGTAGTTTGAGAGCAGTGGGAGAAACTAATGCCTTCCCACATTCTTTACACTTATATAACTCCTCAGGGTCCCCTTGATGCTCTCTTGGTTTGCCCTCAACATGACATTCCATGTGTCCAGTAAGTGATGAATACTTCGTGAAGGTTTTTCCACATCGATTGCATTTCCATGATTTTAAATCATGAGTCTTTTTCTTCATTTTGAGAGCTGGAGTAGGATTTTCTTCGAAGGAACTAATGTCCTTATTCTCAGGCAGTTTCCCTCTCGTAGGACTTCTGCAAATCATGAGAATAACATTCTTACTTTCTTTATTCTATTACATTTTTGTATTTACTACATCTTACAGGAACAGTGAGGTTTTCTATCTTGTGTGAATTGTTACAAGTTGAATATACTGAACATTCTTCAACAGATCTCCAACCTTTCTATTAAAGTTATATTGAGGGCTTCCCTGGTGGCTCAGTGGTAAAGAATCCACCTGAGAATGCTAGAGACATGGGGTTGATCCCTGGTCTGGGAAGATCCCACCTGACATGGAGAAAATAAGCCTTTGAAGCACAAGTACTAAGCCTGTGTTCTAGCAGCCCAAGAGCCAAAAGTATTGCAGCCTGAGCTCTGCAACAAGACAAGCCACGGCAACGATAAGCCTCCTCAATGCAACAGAGATAGCCACCACTCTCCACAAGTCAAGAAAAAGCCAGGCACCAATGCAGACCCAGCAGAGCCAAAAATAAATATGTAAGTAAATAAAACTATTTTAAAAATCTGATATTCAAATACAGTTTATGAATATGAACTGCACACAAATTACACTGAAACATGTAACATTTTTTCTACATTTAAGAAAATATTTCCTGGAGACATTTTCAAGAATAATTAAATTACAAAATGTGGCTATTTCTTTTCTTTGGTTCCTTTAAAATTTTCATAATAGACCTAAATTCACACATGAGACATGCTTTGTATTGTGAATATGGCTCACCTTAATTTTTTCCCATGGTTTTTCTCCAAATCTTCAATGTCGTGATCTTGTTTTTCCGCTGAAATGCAGAAACAGAAAAATGTTCCAAAGTATTAGAAATTAAAGAAAAACTCATTGGATTTTAGGTCCATGATGAATTCTGACCCTGCCCAGTTTCTGTTTCTTTTTTCCCCCACCATGTGCAGCTTGTGGGATATTACTTCCTGAACCAGGGATTGAACCCATGCCAGAGCGGTGAAAGAGTCAAGTCCTAACTTTTGGACTGCAGGAGACTTGCCCTTTTTTCCCTCATAGTTTCTTTACCAATGCACTCTCTTTCCACATTCCAAATCTTTGAACACTATAGACAGGTAACACTTGTTCTCTAGTAGACCAGTGAAGGGAATTTTGTCATTCTTACCTACTGATGCCAGATTCCTGATATTTTCCAACATCACGTCTCTGTAGAGTTTCTTCTGTGAGGAATCCAGTAAAACCCACTCCTCCTGGGTAAAATTCACAACCACATCCTCAAAGACCAATGAGTCCTAAAACACCCAAAATATTCACACAGTGAGATACATGAGACTGAAACACTTGACATCTATGTGTGTGTATGTGCTTAGTCACTCAGTCATGTCCGATTCTTTGCGACCCCATGGACTGCAGCCCACAAGGCTCCTGTGTCCATGGGGATTCTCCAGGCAAGAACACTGGAGTGAGCTTCCATGCCCTTCTACTCCATTTATAAATGCTATGCAGCTTATGTATGATTCTAATGACTTCATGAGAAATCTATTCTCCACACTTCCTCAATAATGGAATAGCATCATGAAGAAATGAAATTATTTATACATCATTTCTGTGGTCACAGTATTGCTTATATCACAATCATGGCCAAGTCAGAGAGTGGAGGGAAATGACAGAAATCCTTTACAAATGAAACAAATACAATTTTAGAAACACTGATTTCCTGTGAAAAAATTCTTTCATCTTCTTCCCTGTGATCTACAATTTACAGTACCACATGGGGTAGGTTATCAACACTGCATAGGGTTTCAATGAATAAAAACCCAGCAAAAAAACTGGAAAACCTTTTCTAGTCATATGACCTAACATCAGAAGCCAGGTGACCAGTATAACTCAGACTTTGAACAAAGTCCAGCTGTCCACACTGTCCCAAAGTCCTCCAAGTCTTTAGAAAAAAATCACCTGCAGCTGCATGAATATAACTATTCTTCTGAAGAAACACAACCTTTAAGTTGGTTGATAATAATCACAGAATCAGCTTTTCTCTTCTCTCTACATAATAAAATGATGCAGATAGCAAGTGATTTCAACCTTAGACCTCATAGATGAAGAATCATTAACAATATGTTAGACCACAAAATTCACTCTACTCAAGTGTCTCTGGGCACTTCCAGCCAAAATTTAAACACACAGTGCAATTACACACCAGAAACATTCTTTCTCATCACACACTAACAATATACCCTGGACCTTACTGCCTTTAAGCACAGGTTAAGAGCTACAGCTACATCAACGTCCATAATACTTTGAGGATCAATTTTCCTGCGATCATAAAATATGTGAGGGTATCATCATTGGCTTCCTCCAAAAGAATATAAAGCTTCTATCCTGCAATTTCAAGAACAAGTGTTTTGCCAGCAACCACACTATAACCACTGCCAGGCATAAATCTAGTCTGTGATTTGTGAATTTAAATGTTGTGATTCTCCATCTCACAAGAAGAGAATGAAAAAACATGAAATAAAGAACCATCAGAGCACAACCTGAAAAGTCAAGCTGGAGCCCTAATACTGGGGAAAAGAAAAGAAAGACATTTAAAAAATATTCCTCAAATATTTTGTTCTAAAGGCCTGTACCCCAAAATACCTGTTTCACTAGAATGTAACACAAAGATTCAAAATACCAAAAACACAGAACAAAATATTCATGTACCTGGCATGATATTTTTTAATGGAATATTTCAGGTACAGCTAATGAAAATCACTAAAGAAAAAGAGAGGCAGAAATCACAAGCACTGAGGTTTTCCTAACATTAATGACAGACAACATCTGTAGATCTAGAAGCTCAGTGAACAAAAAATGAAAACAACTAAAATGGAGACGAATGCATGTTATATTCAAAATACAGAAAAAAACAAAAGCAAAGAGAAAATAATGTAAAAAGCCAGAGGTACACTTTTATGTATAGGAAAAGACTAGAATCAGATTGGACTTCCTTCTGGGGCAAAACAAACTAAAGCAAGAACCAGGTTGACTGAAATATTAAATGATTTAATATTTTTAAAAATTGGTAGAATTTTGTTAGCAAGCACAATTAGGAAAAATTAAGAAATCAAAGCCGTTTTCAGAAAAAAATTGAGGGAATTAGTCGTTAATATAACAAGTTTGAAAGATACCTTTGGAAAATTCATTAGAAATGGGGATTCCCTGGGGGTCAGCGGTTGACAATCCACCTGCCAATGCAGAGGACACGAGTTTGATCCCTGCTTTAGGAACATCCCACATGCAAAGTGGCAACTAAGCCAATGGGCCACATGTACTGACTCTGATCTCTAGAGCTCTAGGGCCAGAACTACTGAGCCAGCATACTGCAACTACTGAAGCACTAGCCCATAGAATCGATGCTCCACAAGAAAAGGCATCCCAGTGAGACACCTGCTCACCAAAACTAGAGACTGGCTCTCTCTTACTGCAACTAGAGAAAGCCTGAGTGCAGCAAGGAAGAGCCAGGACAGGCATAAAATAAATAAATCTTTAAGAAAAAATTCATTGGAAAGAATATAAATTACACAGGTGGACTGACTAAAAGCAGCATTCTTGTTGTTGTTCAGTTGCTCAGTCTTTTCTGACTCTTTGTGGCCCTGTGGACTAGAGCATGCCTGGTGCCTCTGTCCTTCACTATCTCCTAGAGTTTGCGCTGATTCAACGATAAACATGTAGTCATTATGACTACAAGGGAAGAAAGAAAGAACTAATATAAGGAAGACACACAGGGGAAATGAAAATGCAGAGGACTTAGTAAAATCAGGCATCCATTTATCATCACAAACAAGAAACAGAGGCAACTTCTACTTCCTAAGAAAGAACATGTTCCTGAATTCTGTAGGTAAATTCAAATAGTCATTCTGTGGCACATAACTATGTCTGTGAAACATTTAAGATACTCCAACAACAGATAACTCCTGGTTAAGGAGACATACTCAGAGTCTTCCCTGGTAGCCTAGTGCTTAAGAATCTGCCTTGCAATGCAAGGGATGCAGGTAAGAACTCTGCTCTAGGAATTCAAAGTCCTGCACGTCCCGGGGCAACCAAGCCTGGCTGCTTTAGAGCCCCTGCTCCATAACAAGAGACGCTGATGTGCCTGAACTACAGAAAAGTTAGCAAGCTGCAGCAAAGACCCAGAGCAGTCAACATAAAGATAACGAGAATAATAATAAACTGGAAAATAAAAATTTGAATACTTCAAAAACAACAGGGTAAGACTTATCCTAATATTCGAAGAAAATCAGTATCTTCCTA